TAGTAGTAGCAGTAGCAGTCGCAGTAGTAGTAGTAGTAGTAGAAGTAGAAGTAGTAGTCGTAGCAGGAGTAGTAGTAGTAGTGGTAGTAGTAGTAGTAGTAGCAGTAGTAGTAGTATTAGTCGTAGTAGTCGTAGTAGTAGTAGTGGTGGTAGTAGTAGTAATAGTAGTAGTGGTAGTCGGAGTAGTAGTAGTAGTAGTAGTAGTAGTAGTAGGAGTAGTAGTAGTAGTAGTAGTCGTCGTCGTGTTAGTAGTAGCAGTAGTAGTAGTACTAGTAGTAGTAGTAGTAGTAGTAGTCGTACTAGTAGTAGTAGTAGTAGTAGTCGTAGTAGTCGTAGTAGTAGCAGTAGTAGTAGTAGTAGTAGTCGTAGTCGTAGTCGTAGTCGTAGTAGTAGTAGTAGTAGTAGTAGTAGTAGTAGTAGTAGTAGTAGTAGTAGTAGTATTGGTAGTCATCGTAGTAGTAGTAGTAGCGCAGTAGTAGTAATGTTGTCTGTCGTAGAAGTAGTAGTAGTGGCAGTAGTAGTAGTAGTAGTAGTAGTAGTAGGTAGTAGTAGTATTAGTTAGCGTAGTAGTAGTAGTAGTAGTAGTAGTAGTAGAGTCGCAGTGTTAGTAGTAGTAGTAGTCGTAGTAACAGTAGTAGTAGAAGTAGTAGTAGTAGTAGTAGTAGTAGTAGTATTTGTAGTAGTAGTAGTAGTAGTGGTAGTCGTGGTAGTAATTGTGGCAGTCGTAGTAGCAGTAGTCGTAGTTTTCGTAGTAAGTAGTAGTCGTAGTAGTAGTAGTAGTAGAGTAGTAGTATAGTAGTAGTAGTAGTAGTAGTAGTAGTGGTAGTAGTAGTAGTAGTCGTAGTTGGCCTAGTAGTAGTAGCAGTAGCGGTAGAAGTGCTAGTGGTAGTCGTAGGAGTAGTAGTAGTAGTAGTAGTAGTAGTAGTAATAGTAGTCGTAGGAGTAGTAGTAGAGTAGTAGTAGAGGGTAGAGAGGTAGTGCTAGTAGTAGTAGTAGTAGTAGTAGTAGTAGTAGTAGTAGTAGAATTCGTAGTAGTAGAAGTAGTAGTAGTAGTAGTAGTAGTAGTAGTAGTAGTAGTAGTAGTAGTGGTAGCAGTAGCAGTCGTAGTTGGCCCAGTAGTAGTAGCAGTAGCGGTAGTAGTGCTAGTGGTAGTAGTCGTAGGGGTAGTAGTAGTAGTAGTAGTAGTAGTAGTAGTAGTAGTCGTAGAAGTAGTAGTAGAGGTAGTAGTAGAGGTAGTAGTGCTAGTAGTAGTAGTAGTAGTAGTAGTAGTAGTAGAAGTAGTAGTAGTAGTCGTAGTAGTAGTAGTAGTAGTAGTAGTAGTCGTAGGAGTAGTGGTAGGTAGTAGTAGAGGTAGTAGTGCTAGTGGTTGTAGTCGTGGTATTAGTCGTGGTAGCAGTAGGCGTAAGAGTAGGAGTAGGAGTTGTAGTAGTAGTAGTAGTAGTAGTAGTAGTACTAGTAGTAGTAGTCGTAGTAGTAGTAGTAGAAGCAGTAGTAGTAGTAGTAGTAGTAGTAGTAGTAGTAGTAGTAGTAGCGGCAGTCGTAATAGTAGCAGTAGTAGTCGTAGTGGTAGTAGTAGTAGTAGCAGTAGTAGTAGCAGTAGTAGAACTAGTAGTAGTAGTAGTAGTAGTAGTAGTAGTAGTAGTAGTAGTAGCCGTAGTAGTACTAGTAGTAGTAGTAGTAGTAGTAGTAGTAGTAGTAGTAGTTTGTAGTAGTAGTAGTAGTAGTAGTAGTAGTAGTAGTAGTAGTAGTAGTAGCAGGTAGTAGCAGTAGGGGTGATAGGCGTAGTCGGGGTCGTAGTAGCAGCAGCAGCAGCAGCAGCAGCAGCAGTAGTAGTAGTAGTAGTAGTAGTAGTAGTAGTAGTAGTAGTAGTAGTAGTAGTAGTAGTAGTAGTAGTAGTAGTAGTAGTAGTAGTAGTAGTAGTAGTAGTAGCAGGAGTAAGAGTAGGAGTAGGAGTTGTAGTAGTAGTAGTCGTAATTGGTGTAGTAGCAGTAGTAGTAGTAGTAGTAGTAGTAGTAGTAGTAGGTAGTAGTGGTGGTGGGGGTACTAGAAATGGTGAGATTCGTAGCAGTAGTGGTAGTAGTAGTAGTGGTAGTAGTAGTAGGACTAGTAGTA